TTGTTTGTTTGTTTGTTTGTTGAGACAAGGTTTCACTATGTAGCTCACTTTGGCCTCAAACCTACTATGTACCCTAGGCTGACTTTATCCTCCTGCCTCTGGCTCATGCGTACTGGTATTACAGGTGTGCACCGTCACACCCAGCACCCCTTGTGTATTTAAGATCTAGTTCTCTGATTTAGATTCTTTAGACCTCTTCCCTACCCGGACAAAATTGATTACTATCTCATTTCTGATCTGAAATCCCTGTTAAATCTCATTCTTCTGATAATTATCTCTTTGAATCATATGTCTGACTCCTACAATAGATTTTGAGTACTCTGATGACAGGGTACATATTTTGTATTTTTAGTGCCAGGCATATAAGCAGCTTCTCAAGAGAAATGGAATAAAAACTAAAAATAGGCAAATGAAGTCCAGGTTTTTGCTCTAAGTTTTGCTATAGCATGTTGCTTGTCCACTTCTGAATTTTTGTTTATAAGAAGAGAATCACATAAATTAGAAGCTGGAAAGATGGAAAATGCCTCTGGGAGGTAGTCTTTGTCCTTGGGCTTGGAAGTGCTGAGTTGTGGTAAGTGATGAAGTGGAACCAATCTGTAGGGTTCTCAGAACAGCCCAAGTGTGTGTGATTGGCCCAGAGAAGGGACTCTGAGAATGGCAACTCACACTTTTGGGGGTTTGGATACTAATATGGGGAGAAATAACCTTAAGATAATTATTTCAGAGGTGAGCTTAACGAGAAGTATATAGACTCTAGATCAGTGATAGTGAACCTTTTAGAGCTTTCAATGATAATGAACAACCCGCTGTGGCACACATGCCATTGGTTTGTCACCAGTGGTCTAGACTCACTTTAGCACCTTAGGTATTGTCTTGATGGCGATCTTGGTTCTGAGATTCAACTGCCCGATACTATTCAGAGACTTGCTGCAAAATCTGATTTGCATTTTGTCATTTCTTGAGAATAAGGTGGTTCATGAACATGATCTGTGCCCATTGACAGCCCATAGGTTAAATAGGCCAAAATACAAGCCAATGACACCAACTATGCAGTTAAGATATCATTTTGGGCTCCACTGTGGTGTTACTCTTTGCCAAGAAAGAAGGAACTCAAGTATCCACCCCCTGCCAATGTTATAAGTGACTTGACTAGTGGGACCAGGAAGATGCTCTGGTCTTGAAAGGAGCTATATTAATAACCATTTCAAGCAAAGCAAAAGTGCCTGGGATATTTCTTGCCATAAATGAAACTGCCATTTTTAGAATATTACTGGAAAGAATCATCAGGCACAGTTTGAGAGCATCAGAGTAGCAGATGGCTTTTGGAGAAAAGCAATTGTTTTCTGTTCATTCCCAACCTAATTACCTGGAAAACTATAGGAAAACCTAGTAATGTGGGACATGAAATGTTGATGTTTTGCTTGAATCTAATACCTTAATGGACACTTAATGGCAATTAAAGGGAATATAGGTGATATAGCATGCAGAAATCAAGAAAGTGAACAGCTTGTGAGTGGGTTGTACTAATACTTGGGTCTTCCAATTAAGCAGAATAGTGTCTTGGCAAGAACATTAATGAGTGTGATTTTAGTGGAACTAGTTTGGGTATTAGCAGACTGTTGAGATGGGGGAAAGAGAAAGGTAAGGCTGACTCCTCTTTTACACAGGAAGAACAAATTTAAAGTCAAAGCATCGTGGGGATAATATTGTATGTGGGCACTTATACAGGAGAACTACACATGCCTTGAGGCAATAACATGCTAACTGAACATGAGCCATTCTTGGACTAATATTTTTTATAAAGCTAGAACACCTGGTTTTGAGAAACTAGATTTTTTTTCAGACTGGGATAATACAGAAGAGTCTTTCAAAATATTTTACTGCTTTGTGTCTGTGTAAGTGGCCAGGATTGGAGTCTCCCTCTACCATACACTGATTTTCTGCACTTTGACTTATTGGCCATTGTCACTAATTGCAATCCCCTAGACATACACTCTGTGTTTCTTCACTATGATTCCCCTTCCCTGGGGTGCATCAGATTCCTTCCCAACCCTTGGAACAGTTGAGTGAGCACCACTATCAGGCAATAAGAAGAGGAACTTGAGCTGTTAATAGAGCTAAAGTGATTTTTAAAAAATCTCTGGAGAGATCACAAGTATGCCTTTTAACTCAGTACCCATCTAAAGTGACCTCTCAATCATTCCAGTTATTGATTCATACCAGGCAGGCAGCAGGCTCAGCGTGGCGTGGGTGTGTGGAGAAGGTGAGCTAGCTGGGAAGGCTGATGTGCATTGCTTTGTTGTAACCTGCTCCCGGTCTATAATGGGGAATCTGCAGCAAGGAGGATTGAGTAAGATCATGTCTGGAAAGTATTCCAGGATCTTAGGAGCTATTAAAATGGGGGTTGTAGTTAAGGATCTATTAGAATAGAATTGCATACTGTAGAAATCCATGACTTTCTTTTACAAATATTTGAGGAAACTTAAGCTGAGAGAGGTAAAAATGACTTGTTAGCCAGTTAGTAGCTTGTCACTACAAATCAATGCACTGTATATTGAAGAAAATGGGTTTCTTACAACTGTCTCTCACAGTAGAAATGAAATTTTTTCTGCCTATATTGGGGTAACAGCCATAGAAATCTACCAGGAGCCAGGCAGGCATCCCCCTTATAACTGTACTATCTGTCTCTCAGCACTGCAACTGACTTGTTGATACACTGCTCACCTATTAAAGTCTTTCCCCTGCTGCATGAAGATGTTGATATTATAGAGTGTTGACTGTTCACATAGCCATTTTTGTGACGTAGTCTGTTCAAGCCTTTTGTCCTTTTAATTATGTTGGGTTGTTTTGTTTTGTTTTTTTTAAAAGTAAGTGAGTGAGCTGGGTTTATAAGGATGGTGTGAGGAACTGGCAAATTGGAAACCTCTTGGCTATTCTCTTTAAAGGGGGCAAATTTTCCCCTTATATGGACAGGCAGACCTAGTGACTTTAGATCATCTCATTTTCCAAGGGAAATTAGAAATGGGTCAATCCAGTGTAGACTAAATTAATCATATTGGATCGGCCTAATTTGGCCTGAGGCTGATTTTGCTCTTTAAGGCAGATGCATGATTGCCTTTGTCTGTGGACTGAGCATAAATACTCAGTGAGTAGCAACAGATAGGTTTTTTTCCCCTATAAATTTTTAGAGATATTGTTATGATTAATAGTTTTTATTTCCTCCTCCTGCTTTATCTCAACAAAGAGGAATCCCATAAGTAGTACATTCCTCTCTCACACTGTTCACTCTCAAGGAAACGTTAATGAGAGGGAGGAAGGAGAGGCAGAGTGCTTTGGAAGAATCACAAGCTGGTGATCTAGTTTTGATTATTAAAGAATTGCCAGTTGTGTGCAATCCAGTGTTTTCTGTCTGATGCTTTCATGGCCATCTGGGACTTAACAAAGTGAGGATTTGTGCCAACACCCAGTCCTGAGACAGGGAAGAAAGAACATCAATTTCCAAACAAATGTCAGATTCTCTTCTGCTTCCCTGTGACTACTATCTGGTTTTTAAAAAGAGAAGCCCTTTAAATCTCTGGACACAGATTTCCATTTGGTTGCAACCAACTGGGAGTAAAAAGCATCTCTCTGTAAAATTACTATAATCATCTCTCTGTCTCTGCCTTACCCTCCCACACAGTCTGTTGTCAAAACATAGCCCACCATTTAAAAACATTAATACTCGGTTCATATCTCTTTTGGATTCACAGCACTCCGGTGGTTAAACGACAACTCTTAATATCCCAAAAGACTACACAGTCTGTGTCCCTGCCCAGACCTCCCCTTACTTCCCTGACCTCACTTCTTGCTACTCTCCATGTGCTCTTTTTTCTCAGCCACACTGGACTCCGTGCTGCTCTGTAAATGCTAGTATGCTCCCTCCTTTGACCTTCTATGTTGTCCGTTCAGAAGATTCTTGCCCCAGATACCCCCATAGCTACCTTTAGATGCAATGTCTATTGAAAGTTGAAATCCTCTCTGTCTCCTTTTACCTCTCTCCTCTCTCATTCCTTAACCACACTGTTTTACCTTTTTGAAAACATACTACTTGTTCCCAACTGTTACTACACATTTTACTTGTATTTTCTTAATGTAAATTTTATGAGTGCAAAGATTTTGTCTGGATTGCTCACTACTACATTCACAGAATTTAAAACAGTACCTAAAACTGTAGTGGGTGTTTGACAAGTATTTGCTGAGTACATTTTGAAATTTTCCTCCCCTTTGTGCTAAGGATGGTGGAGCTCAAGGTGTGGAGTAGATAAGTCTCTTGTGACTGAATCTTGGTGTTACTAACATTTCTATGAATTGAATTTTTCTGTTTTCCAAGTTTTCTGTGTTGATTCTACTTCCTAAGCCTACCTTGAATATTTTGTCTTCTCTCTAATGCCCCTGTCTTCTTGCTTGAAATATAGATTCTCACCATCCTATCTTTTCCACTCCACATAGTCTAACTCAGCAGCTATAATGATCTATCTGAAATGTACATTCTCTAATACTTTCACTCCCTAATTTAAAGTCCTCCAGTAGTTATAGCATAAAACTCAAATCCTTAACCCATCTCACATGGCTCTGCATGATCTGGTCATAACATTGGCTTTCTTTGTTCCTTTAACAGCCTAGGATCCTTCCTGTATTAACATCTTTGTTATTTCCATGTGAGAGAATATTCTTTTGCTTGTACTCTTTATCTGGTTGACATCCTCCTTATCTAGGTTTAAATATTCCTCTATTCATATCTTTGCACAAGTTAAGTTCCCTCTGCATTTTCTTTCATTTATCAGGATAGTAATTAAAATTTGTGAGCTTATTTGTTTAATAGCTGGCTCTCTCTATAGTAGGAGCTTAATAAATACGTGTGGAGATATAAATGAAAAGAGTATGTGACTATGTTTCCCCCCAGGACCTGGAAGCCTTGTGGAATGTTATCTCACTAATTAATGATATGTTTCTCTCCACAGAGATTATTTTGCAGAGGATGATGGGGAGATGGTACCCAGAACAAGTAATGCAGCAGGTAAGAATGCTACGGGCCTTGCCTTATTAAATTCCTGTTTTCCTGTTTACCATTCTTTCCTTGAATTTGGAGCTCTTTAAGATCCAGTTGTGATATTTGTTGATTCTATTTCTAGCTGATCTGTCTATTTGTGACAGTGGGATATTGAGGTCCCCCATTGCAATTGTATTAGTGCTTATTTGATTTTTAAGTCCATTGATATTTGTTTTATATAGTTGGGTGCACTGGTATTTGGTGCATATATATTTATGTTTGTTATCTCTTCCTCTTGGGTTGTTCCTTTTACAGGGATGTAGTGACCTCCTTTGTCTCTCTTAGTCAATCTTGGCTTGAAATACATTTCGTCTGCAAATGGAATAGTTGTCCCTACTTTTTTTCTGGGTTCCTGTCACATGCAGTATTGTTTTCCATTCTTTGATTTTCACTTGGTGGATTTCTTTTTAAATTAAATATGCATCTTGTATGCAGCATATTGTTGGATCTTGATTCTTGATTCATTCTGCCAGTCTGTTTCTTTTGATTAGTGAATTGAAACCATTTACATTGATGGTTACAACTGATATGTATTGACTTATCCTTGTCATATTATTTTATGCTGATTCCCTTACCCCTCTGTTTAATTATTTGACTTGTCTGGTGGATTCATTCTGTTGGGTTTCATAGAGTTGTAGTCCTCATTGTCTCTTTTTAGAATGTCCTTCAGAACATTTTGGAGTGCTGGCTTGGTGATCATGAATTTCTTCATGTGTTCCTCATCATGGAAGTATCTTATTTCTCTATCACTTTTGAAGGATAGTTTTGTGGGCACACCAATCTGGGTTGTGGCTTGTTCTCTTTTAGAGCTTGAAATACCTCACTCCAAGCTCTCTTTGCCTTGAGTATTTGTGTTGAGAAGTGTGCTGTGATTCTGAAGGCCTTATCTTTATAGGTGATTTGTTTCTTTTTTCTAATATCTTTTAATATTATGTTCTTGTGTTGAATTTCTGGAATCTTGACTAGTATATGCCTTGGCATAGATTTTTGATCACAGCTAATTGGAGTTCTATAGGCCTCATTTATCTGTATGTCAAATTCATTTTCCATGCTTGGGAGGTTTTCTTCCATTACTTATGTGAACAGTTTTCTTATGTCATTGGCCCTATCCCCTGCTTTTTCATTGACTCTGATCATTCTTATGTTATTTTTCTTTGCATCATCTAGCAGCTGATTTTTTTATGGTCCCTTGTTATTTTTAAGAAATCTTTCTTTTCATGATCACTAGCTGCAATCTTGTCTTCTGTACCTGATATTCTGTCCTCACATTGGCTCATTCTGCTGCACATATTGTCAATGGAATTTTTAACCTCCTGGATATCTGTTTGAATCTCTTTCATAGATTCATTTCTTTCCTATGTTGGGCGTTCATGTTTTTAATCATTTCCTAAGTTCCTCTATTTTTTAAATATCTATTTGCTCCAGAGTCACTAACCATGTGTTTCCTCATGGTCATTATCTCTTTAGTTATCTGAGAGATTATTTCTGATTTGATTTTTTTCTAGACCCTCATTCATCTGCTTGTTATTTCTGCAGTTATCACTTCAGAGAATCCAGGTGATGTTTTTTTTAATTGTTCCACTTCATTGCCCCCTGGGTTTGCCTTTGGCAAGCTGGAAGTTCGGGGTTGCAGTTTGCTTAAGTGTCTTCTCATTTCCTATATCTTTAAAGTTTAATTCCTGGGTTGATGCTTCTAAATTGCTTATGGCAGGTAGCTTTATTGCTAGTATTGGGAACCCTTAAGAAATGACTGCTTCTCAGAGATTTCCTCCAGGTATCACTGGCTTTTTAGTTTTGAATCTGCTGCAAGGTCCTACCCTTTCCATCTATTGAAGAAGAAAAGTTGCTACCTATTTGACTTAGCCTATAGGTCTTCATCACTGGTCATAATTGTTTATGACCCTTACTTAGGCAATTTCAATCTTGGCATACCAGCAACAACAACTGATTAGAACAGTTATGTTACCCTGGCTAAAATAGTACAATCAGCAATAACAATAGCATCAAATGCAGCCTAAAAATGACAAATTGTGGTAACTATCAATTTGCCATCTTTTACTGTATGAACTAGATTTGTGGTTAAATAAGAAAAGCTAAAGCATACCATAAAATTGTATACATTAAATATGCCTTAAATATGGCAATTTTACCATCTGGGCAGAAAATTTAAAAAGGGTAGAGGGGGGAAATACAGAAATAGAAGAAGAGGAAGAGATTAGAAGCCAGGCTGTAGGACCGAGGAAGATTATGCACACTTTCCAAAAACTGGTAAAGAATACAGGAGGGAAGGAGAGGAGAAAGAAATAAAAACAAGAATGGAACAGGACACACACAACAGAAAAACTAGAAACAATGCTCACATTCGTATTAAAATAAGAACAATCTAGAAAAAAGGAAAAATCCCCAAAAATGTCCACTTTAGGGCATGTTTCCACTGTTACTGGTAGACAGAGTGGGCAGACAGAGCCCAGGTCTGGGTTGATTAGTCCCAGAAAGCCAGCTGTAGATTTATGGTGGGGTAGTGATTAATCCCAGAAAAATTGCACCTTTGGTTCCACTCACGTTCAGGCTGGTTTCTGGCTGATTTGTGCAGCCTGCAACACTCTGTGTGCCTCCTGTGGGCTTGAACTCGACTCCTTGACTCCTGCCAACTTGAATTTGGTTCCACCTCACCCTGACACTGGGAGCCACTAGATGGGGCCAACCCAAAACTGCTCTGTATTCCAAGCTCAGTTGGGGGATGTCTGAACCCAAATAACTTGCCAGCCACTGCAGTCCACTGCATTCACTGCTCCATTCCACTGGTGTGTTTCTTTGTGGAGCCCTCTGAGTTCACCAGTAGTCATTGTGTATCTGCAGGTTCAAGCCACCCCTCCCATGCAGTGAGTCAGGGCTCAGGGAGAAAGCGCTGCTTGTCACCTCCTTCTTCTGCATCAAGGTCTCTCTCTTTGCTGTCCCTGTTGGCTTCAATTCTCACTTCAGATCCTTGATAGTTCCTGGCGACCCACTTCCCTCCTTCTTCTCTTCCTCATGTTGCTATATTCCAGTCTTAACAACAAATCTCAGAGAAACTGTTTCTCTGCTGTTCACCACTCTGCCATCTTCCTGGAAGTAGGGGCTCTTTGAGGTCATCGTGGCAGTCTCCTCAAGCTTCTGTGAATTTTCATATTTGCAAATACTACTATAGTATATAATTCCCAGTAGCAGTTTTATAATTACCAGTGGGGAATTATATGGTATATATAATTGTATGTACTAGGAGTCAGCACATTACAGTAAATCATAACCAAAATACATAAACTATTCACATTTTTCATGACTTTGTGACTGCAAAACTAAAGTTACTTACAAAAATGATTAAAATAAATTCTGACACTAAAATAATTTCTATTCTAATATGCTATTAAAATGTGTATGATAATAATAATACCAACTTAGATGTAGGATTAAATGAGAAAAGCCCTCAGTACAGAGCCTGCAAAAATATGAGCACTTAGTCATCTTATTTATTGTGATTATTGAGTTAATAATAAGAGCACAATCATTACTATAGTAATGTTAGGTTAAATTATGATACCATTATGATATTGTTAAGGTCCTTACTTATTCTTTCACAGTGTCACTGTTCAAAAGCAGTCAGAGTTAATAGGCTCTCCCAGAGCAATACTTTTGTCTGATTAATAGTTGAGTGTCTACCCTTTTTCCTGTTTCCCCAACTCTAATCTTATCATGTGCTCTTAGTTGCTAAAATAACAGTGTCTCAGCTGAGACAAATGTAAAGAATATGGGATTGATTCTGCCACTTTTTAGCAATGTGATATTGGGCAAGCAAACTTTGTGATGCTTTACTTATTCATTAGCAAAATGGATTATGTTAGTCTGTTAGTTCATTGTGTTAGTCTATTTCTCTGGTTACAGTGACTGTTTAATGAAGTAATTCACTTGGAACTATTTTGTAACACCTAATACCATATAAATACATTGATTGGCACAATTGTCATTATTCTTAAATAAGAACCTCAAAAATTCTAGAGAGGTTTGTTGAAAATGCTTCTTAACCAGTAGCTTGTTTTTTTTTTTCTTTTAAAAGCTATTTTGGTTATTTTTGTCATGTAACATACCATCTCAAAACTTAGTGTCTTAAAATGAGGGCCAGAAAAATTCAGCCCATGAGAGAACTGCCAGTTTTTGTAAGTAAACTTTTACAGCCATATCCTCGCTCACATGTCTGGCAGTTGGTCACTTGCTGGGAGGGGTAGGGGGTTCCTCATTTCCCAGTACCTGACCTTTCCTTTCCCAGTATGTAAACTGGGCTTCATGGTTTGGTGGCTTTGGGGTACTAAGAAGGCAACGACAGAAAAGCAAAGCATCTCAAGGACTAGTTTCTGGAAGTCATAGTTGCATTTCAACATGTTTTGTTGGTCAAAGCAAGCTATTTGGACAGCCTAGATTCAAGGGCTAGAGAAACTTCTCGATGGGAGGAATATGACCATCACATTACGAAGAAGCATGTACACAAACTATATTGTATTCACTGGGGGTCATTACTAATATGATCTACTATGGGTACTTTCTGTGAATATTTTTCATGTGGCATACAAATGATTTGTATTTTCCAGAATGAAAATTCTGCTAGAATGTGCCATTTAGAATGATCACGGGCCTTCGTTATATGAACTTTTGTTGCTTTGTTTCCCTGACAGCTTTTCTCAGTGACACTAAAGATCGAGGCCCTCTGGTGCAGTCACAAAGCTGGAAAAGTGGTGAGAAGATCCTTTTTGGGCAGACACATTCCTTGAGAGCATTTGAGAGGCCCCCTCAGGTGCAAACTCAGGCTCTTAGAGACTTTGAGAAGGTAAGTCACATGGGAGGACAGTTCTAATCCCACTTAGAAGCAGTACTGTGAAATAGTGATGTCTTATATAAACAGGACTTGTGCATTCATTTGGATTATGGCTATTGTTCTCATGATGGCATTTCTTTCAAGAGCACCTGTTCCTGTATTCAGATGGTGTCCTAGCTGTGTGCCAGTGGCTGTGGTTTTCCAAACAATTGCTTGTACCAATTAGCTTGGACTTATTTGTGCTCCTGGTATGCTTCTCAGATAAACTTAGGAAATTTAAATGGCACCCTGGGAATCTGTAGCTGTGGCACAGTGAGCCCAGGAGTTTCATTCCAGTTAAACAGCATTATTTTCTCTGTTGCCCACTTGGACCACTCCAGAGATCAGGCTATTGTCTACTGCATGAGGTGACTCATTCAGAACCATTTGCTTTGCAACAGAAATCCGGCAATGTTGTTTGAAATTCCTTGTTTGTCCTTAGTTTGGCCAAAACCTGACAATGTAATATAGATCTCTAGCTCTTTGTGCACTGGATCAATCTGGGAAGTTTGGAACCTGTACACCGGCATTTACATGGCCCAGGAAAGTACCCAGTGTCTTACAACCATGTCTAAAAATAAAAGAAACAGCTCTTGGATGCCCCCTGGGGGATACCTGAGGAGTGGGCCTCACTGAATACTTCATAAAATAAGTCCTGAGTTAAGTGAGTTTCTTTCTCTCTTGAAATGATAGCTTTGGACATATAACACTTACATTCCCATTTTTTAAAAATGTTGTGGAGGTCCAGGGATTTAGTTCAGTGGTTTTGCCACCTGCCTCACAGGCTCAAGGTCCAGAGTTCAATCCTGGTACCAAAAACAAACAAACAAAAAAAAATGTTGTTTTGAAATGGGTTTACCATGGCTTTCCTTAACTTGCAATCATAGATGTTTCCCTAGGACTTCAAGTACATCCTCCCAGATATTCCTGTGAACAGTAGTGCTCTGTATAACACATGCCTAAGAATTAATTGAGCAGCCTGCTACTGATACTTTGGCTACTGATTTTTCTTAAAATGCAGCATTTTCAGGAATATTAAGTGGCTTCTGAATACTGAGCCTCTGAACGCGTGTGGGCGTGGGGGAGTGGGTGTGGTAACACTTCATCCCCCTCCTCTTTTTTCGCCTTTTAGATCTGCTGTGGCACATGGGGTGAAAAACGCTGTGTGGGGAGCTCTGAAAGACAACCTGCCTAACGTTTCTTTCAATCAGGAGGTGCCTGGGAATGAGGAAGTGAGAGATACCACCTGTACTGAAGAGATAAATGGCCAATCCTGTGGGACTGAGCTGGGTGCTGAATGGGGTCAGGTGACTTTCAGATACAAAGTCCCAAGTCCTTTCTCTTAGTGTTCAGTTCTAATATCACAGCCTAATGCTTGCTTCTCCTGATGAGAATCACAGACGGAAACCGAGGTAGGAAGCAAGAAAGACCAATCAAAGATAAGCAACGAGGAGGCAGAAACACACTTCTTTCTTGGAAACCCATCGCCAATCCACTCAGAGGAGCTATGCTCGAAAGTGTGTTGATTCTTACATCCATTCATCCATTCTGTGGACTGTGAATGATGTTATTTAGTACATGAAACTCTTTCACTAGAAGATACTAAAATAAGAGGAAACATTGGCTAGAAATAATATCGGAGGAGTCAGGGCATGTTCCAGTGCCCCAGCCTAAAAATGGCAAAATGCCATGACATGTGCTGTGAAGTCGTAAACAAAACATGAATCTGTAACTCCAGATGAAGGATAGGTAGATACTCTCGAAAAGAGGAATTGCCTGGATTTCTAGAGCTGATTCCTTCAGCTATTCGTTGATGTTTGCATTTTAGTTTCCATTTACTGAAAACCAAGCTGGTTTGTGTGATCTTGTAAAAGTCTCTGTATGAGTACATAGAGGATGGGGTAGGCAGAACCATAAGATATTTAAGTAGTAACTCTTACATAAACTGCCAAAACACTCTCTGAAGTGATTGTACACTAGCAAGGCTGAAGGGTTCTCCTTCCTACACTTCTTCACCAAGACCACTGTGATCAGACTTTATGGGTTTTTTTTTGGGGGGGGGGTTGGTACCGGTATTTTTTAGAACTCGGGTCCCTGAGCTTGCAAGGCAGGTGGTGGAACCACTAAGCTAAATCCCCAGCCTGTAATCAGACTTTAATTCTTCCTCTTTAAAAGGGAAAGAGTAGTATCTCCTGTGGACTGAATTTTCACTTAGTCAAAAACTTATTATAATAAATATTTGTTTTGTTTTGGTTTTTGGTTTTTGAGACAGGGTCTCACTATGTAGTTGAGACTGACCTGGAACTCACTATGTAGTGCAGGCTGGTCTCGAACTCACAGCGATCCTTCTGCCTCAGCCTCCTGAGTGCTGGGATTACAGGCATGCGCCACCACACCCGGCCTGATTATAATAAATATTTATGTGGTTATTCAAAATCTAGATGTGTTTCATGCTGAAATATCTTTTCAAATCCTGTTGTCTGAATTTCCAACTTTTAAAAATTTTCTCATTGTTGTGTTTTATATTTCTTTTATGGTATAGAAAGAAGTTTTTCAGAAATGCATAACTTGCAAATCTTTGATCCCAAACTATCTGTACCCTGTGCTTTCATTCTTGCAACACATCCTCTGAATTGCGATGAAAACCAATTCACCATTTTTTGTTCCATTATGGTTATCTATATCTATAGATATGATGATGCTATCTACAGAAAATTATGATTATGATGTCATCTATAGAAAATCTCTAAGTAACCTTTGGGCGTATCTGTATAAAGGCCCATTATTACCATAAAAAAGAGGAAGTAGCATGCTAAAGATTATATGCCAGAGAGGAATTGATGCCTTCAAGAGCCACAATAGTTTTCCTTTCCTTTTCTTCCTCATTCTTATTATTTTCCATTTTATTTTATTAGTACATGTGTGCAGTACATAATGATTATGTTCATTGTGTGGAGGTGATACACGTAATAACACATCTTAATTCTTTTTACAGTCCCTTTCCCCTTCACCCTTTCCCTCTCTCTGTCTCTTGGTCCACTTCTAATTTTCAAAAGATCTGTCTTTTCTCTTATTCTCCATTCTCAACCAGCAGCAGGTGTGGAAGGTTGAAGATAAGGGTTGGGAAGAGCTCAGGGGAGCCACACAGTTAACCTTGTGGTGTTCCCGGTGCAAGTTCAACCCTTCCTCCCAGGAGTATTTGTCATGCTGAGACCAACAGGTATTGTTTCTCATGATGAAAGGAAAGTATTTCTTAGCATAAATGCTTCATTTATATTTTTTAATAAGTGAGTGATTTTTTAACTTTGTCACTTTTGTTGTAAAGGAGCTTTCCCCCACCAGAGGATGGAAGGATCCCTGTTCCTTCCAGATCTGTAGACTTGAGGAGCAGACTAAGGGCTCTAACAAGTTGCCTTATTTTGTCTTTATAAGACATGAAATCAACATCATTGGCCCTGTTTTTCAAATGAGAAAACCAGGACTCACAGACATTGCAAATTTCTCAGGGTTCTGGAGTTCGTGTACTGTGATCTAATTCTGGTTGACTGTTTGGTCAGAAATAATTTTTACATGCCAATGGCCACAGTCACAAGTTGAGAAAAATTCTTTCATGTATGCTTCTCAGTGATGATAGTGCCCAGCCCAGACCAGCATCTTTGGGATGAGGGAGAGAAGAATAGCACATTGTCGGTTCCCACTAGCACTGCTTGTCATTTCTTAGGTAATAAGTACATTTCCAAATTTGAGATAGTATCATCTCATTTAATAAGCGCAACTACCCTGTGAGCAGGTTGTTATACCAATTCATAAAAGAAGGACTAAAGACTCAGAGAACAACAAGGGACTTGCCTAATGTAAGCCTGAAAATCTCTGTCCTTTCTGTTACCTAAAAGCTCAGCTGGTGATAGTTTGGTACTAATGAAAGTGCTGGCTGATTTGGAAATGGATTCAGACTTTTCTAGGCAAGATGGAAATCTACTTTTAGCCCCTGGTATTATCCACTGAGTGCTTTTTACCCCATTAATTCTGAGGTACTTGCAATTCAGAGCTATTTCATTCTTCCATGTCTCTGTTCCTGCTCTTTCCTCTACCTGGAACATCTCTCCTGCTTTACCTGGTTAAGCCTACCCATCCCTCAGCTCAAGTGTCATTTTTTCGGGGGAGGGTACCGGAGATTGAACTCGGGTCCTTGCGCTTGCAAGGCAGGCCACCGAACCACTGAGCGAAATCTCTGGCCCACAGGTGTCATTTTTGAAGGATGTTATCCCTAATACTCTAATCCTTTAAGCTTCTTGAGTGCAAAAATCATCTCGTGTTCATTCTTTTCTGGTATCTAGAATCTGGCATAATGCAGAATGTGACAGTGCTCAGTAAATATTTATCAATTAAACTAAATTTGTTGAAAATAATTGAAGATATTAGGTATTAGCTATTCTACTGGGTTTGTATTTCTCCCACCACTCCTTGGTATTCACAATGAGTGAATGGCTCCAAAGCAGGGATTGGTGGGTTGATTAGGTAGGATGAAAAACTGAGAAGTCAAGAACGCTACATGTATTTTTCTAAACTGGGATGATAAAATAAGAAATGTAGAGCTGGGGATTTAGCGTCGGTCTCACAAGCCCAAGGTCCTGAATCTGATCCATGGTACTCCCCCACCCCACAAAAAAAACAACCCCAAAAAAGTAAAGGAAGGAAAAGAAGCAGACACTTTTTGAAATAATATTTGAAAGGACTTATTAAGAAGATCATAATAGTAAATACATAATAGTAAACATATTGGGTGCTTTTTATATACTTGGGCACACTTTTCTAGATATTTTATTTCAGCTAATTTCAATTCATTATCCTAACTTCTGAGACAGATATTATTATAATATACAGTATGCCAGTGAAGAGACAAAGGTTCAAATAAGTTGCCCAAAGTTATACAGCTATACAGCAACAGAACTAAGATAACAGCAGTGATTCCA